TATAAAATAATTATTTTAGAATAAAGTTAAAAGGCAAATGTTTGTCTTAACCCAAATCCTCAACAACAAAATTCACTTTATAAAATGTTTATAAGTAATCTTTGATCTTTGTTGCTGAGTTATTTTTCAGTCATGCCTGACTCTTTGTGAAGGGTTTTCTTGGCAAGGGTACTGGAGTGGATTGCCATTTCCTTCTGCAGCTCATTTTACAGATGAGGAAATTGAGGCAAACTGGGTTAAGTGACTTGCCCAGGGTCACACAGCTAGGAAGTGTCTGAAGCCAGATTTGAACTCAAGAAGTGGAGTCTTCCAGGCCCAGCACTCTATCTACTGCGCCACCTTGATCTTTCATCTTAGGACTCCCTAAGACCAGCCTGGGACCACTCCCTTGAGAAAGCATCAGATATCTCCCCAGTGATTCATAAGATAGCCCATAGTTTTTGCACTTTTTTGAGAGGAAAAGAAAGAGCAGGTGCTTGGAAACCCTGGTGTGGCCTGGCATCATATAATTTTGTCCCGTTTGGTTGGCAGAATGGGTCTAACCATGTTCAAAATACATTATTAAAATGATGTGTTTAACAGAACTGGTGAGAGAAGTCATTGTTGATGTTACCCTTATTACAAAGGTTTTGAAATTAGTCTATGAGAGCATTAAGCAACATGCTTGTGGTCACAAATAAATTGGTAAAACAGATAGGAAGGGAATGAAAGATGCCAGATTTTTTTCTAAATGGTATTATAAGCCACTTGTCCATCTTAACTCCAAATAGTCAAACCTTTCAGAATCTTTACAGTACTATACACATCATTTAGTAATGGACTTGTATAAACTATTCTGTGGTGTACTGGATAGAGACTCATCTTCCTGAGTTAAAATCTGCCCTCAGACATTATTAGCTGTGACCCTGGGCAAGTCACTTAACTCTGTTTGCCTCAGTTTCCTCGTCTGTAAAATAAGCTGGAAAAAGAAATGGCAAGCCACTCCAGTATCTTTGCCAAGAAAACCCCAAATGGGGTCATGAAGAATGGACACAACTGAAATGACTGAACAACAATAATAGAATATCCAAGTCAGAAAGGGTCCTTCACCCAACGGTCCTGACAGACTGGCACAGGAAATCAAACTGGTGGAGATCATAATGATGCTAGATTTCTGAAGCATGGGATGGTGGAAGGAGTACTGAATTTTGGAGTCAGGGGACCTGAGTTTGAATTCTGGCTTTGTCATATACTAACTCTGTGACCTCCAACCAAGTCACTTGACCCTTTTGGGCTTTTTCATCTATAAAGAAGTTGGACTAGGTCAAGGGTTCTTAATCTTTTTTTTTTTTTCCCATATCATGGATCCTTCCAGAAGTTTGGTGAAGCCTATGGACCCCTTCTTAGAATAATGTTTTTAACTGTACAAAATAAAATACAAAGGAAATTAATCATATTGAAAGAAACTCATCAAAGTATTTTTAAAAAATAAGTTCATAGATCCAAAGTTAAGAACCTCAGGACTCTCTAAGGTCCCTTCCAACTAATAAGTCTGTGATCTTGTATCCTATGATTAATGCAGGGACTTGGATGAATAAATTATCCTTTGTTTTCTTTTCTTTAATTAGACAATGGGATTAAGTGACTTGTCCAGGGTCACATAGCTAGTAAGTGTTATGTGTCTGAGGTTAGATTTGAACTCAGGTCCTCATTAATCCAGGGCCGGTGCTTTATCCACTGCGCCACCTAGCTGCCGCTTGTCCTTTGTTTTCTAAGAGGACCATTGACAGTATGAGAAGAATGTCTTGGTTTTTGTGTAAATTGGATTTAAGTGAGGCAGAGCTGCATAGCCATCAAGCTCACTCTCTCTTCCAGAATCACTGAATTCAGTGGCAGGACAAAAGGCAGCACCATTGGTCATGGGCCAGGATGCAGTAGATGACCTTTGCATCTGAGCAAGCTCTCAGTGCTCCACAGCACCTGTTTCAGTTGCCTTCATGGCTATTGTAACAAATTGTTTTCATCTGCCCATTCCACTGGGCAGGTAGATGAAGTGGAAGAAGAAGTAGGCAGGCCCTGAATGATGTGCTAAACAACATAATTTGGAACTACTTACAGACAGTGAATCATGATTTGGGAGGTTCCCTTTCCAGAAAGTCTGGTTTGACTATTAGGGGTGGGGAACCAGCGGCCTTGAGGTCACAAGTGGCCCTCTAGGTCCTTAAGTGCAGCCCTTTGACTAAATCTGCACTTGAGGACCTAGAGGTCCACATGTGACTACGAGGCTACAGGTTTCCCACCCCTGGGCTGAATCCTTTCCAATCTTGTTGATAGTAGTTAAACATTTATTCAGCACCTACTACCAGCTTTTTCACCTGTATTAGCTCATTTGATCCTTGCAACAAGCCTGTGAGGTTGCTGTATGGGGTAATATGAGGGATACTGCACATGACATGATTTCTAATATTGTCTCTACTCTGTCACCCTAAGCAAGTAACTAATTTCATGTCTTTAGAACTTTTATGCATCTGAAATAGTGAAGGTTTTAGGGTTTGGACTAGACCTTGAAGATCTTTCTAGTTAGGAAACTGTTTTATCTCCCTTTAACAGACAAAGAGACTTTATTTGTATTGTTATTTAACTTCAAAAGAATAATAGAATTCAATAGAATAAAGAATTTCAAAGAGATGAAGGGTGTACCCTAGATCATATGACTAATAAACTAGCCTAGTCAGGACTTTTGATTCCTAGTTAAAATCTCAGATGAGATAACATTTGTAAAGTGCAGCGTCATACCTAGCAAGTAGTAGGCTTTATATAAATACTTATTCCTTTCCATTCCTTTTCTCTAGCCAAGTACTTAAAAATTCCTGCTCCATTATCCTGCTTATACATCCTCTCAAATCACTAATAAAGGCTTGCCTGCTGGTTCCAGTGTTAATGACCAAAATGCTCATTATGGGATGCAGCCTCATGACAATGCTTCATCTCCAGTGTCAGCCTTCCTGGGGGGTCAGCACCCTTTCTGACCTGAATATTCTGAAGAAGTGCACTAATGACTAACATTTTTGTAGTACTTGAAAGTTTTCAAAACTTTTTATATACATCACCAGATTTGGGCCTCACAACTATAAGGTCAGGTGGGTATTAGAGGCATAATTATTTCTTATAGATGAGGGCACTGAAGCTCAAAGGTTTAAGTGCTTTTTTCATGGTCTCATAACTCATAATTGTCAGGTGCAGGCAGGATTTGAAACAGGTTTTCTTTCTTTTTTTTCTCTTCCACTTAATAGTATTTTACTTTTCCCAATTACATGCAAAGATAGTTTTCAACGTTCACTTTTACAAGATTTTCAGTTCCAATTTTTTTTCTCCTTCCCTTCCCTCCCCTCCCCTGTTCCAAGACGATGTGCAATCTGGTGCAGGCTATACTTGTACAATCCTATTAAACATATTTCCACATTAGTCATTTTGTGAAAGAAAAATCAGAACAAAAGGGAAAAACCGTAAGAAAGAAAAGACAACAGCAAAAAAAAGCAAGTAGTATGCTAAGATCTGCATTCAGACTCCATAGTTCTTTCTCTGGATGTGGACGTCATTTTCCATCATGAGTCCTTTGGATAAGTCTGTCAAAGTTGGTCATTGCACAATGTTGCTGTTACTGTGTATAGTGTTTTCCTGTGAACCAGGTTTTCTTGAGCTCAACTCAGCACCCTCTCCAGTACGGAAAACTAAACTATTATTCCCTGAGAAAAGCAATGTAAGATGGCTTTTGAGATAACATTTGAAAAATGAAAGTAGGAAGAAGCTGCTAATTTCAAAGCTGCTATTTTTGCTAATTTTTAAAGCTGATCAATTTGGGAATAGCTGGACAAATTTTGTTGTATGAATGTAATATGAATGTAACTATATATGTATATATAGTTACATTCACTATATATATATAGTGGAGCAAGTAGAACTAAAAGATTAATTTCTACTATAATGACAATATTATGAGAATGAACAATTTTAATGACTTTATAAACTGATGAAGAATTAAATGAGCAGAACCAGGAGAATAATTTATGCAATAACAGCAAAACTATGTAGAACAAATAACTTTGAAAGCTGTAAGAACTCTGATCAACACAGTGAACATCCGTGATTCCAGAGATGAGTGAAGAAGCTTGAGGGTGAAGGATGAGGTATGGTTTTTTGAACATGACCAATGAGGGAATTTGTTTTTCCTTGGCTATGCATATTTGGTACAAGAAATTTCTTTTTTTTTCCTATTGGGATGGAAAAAATTAATTTCTCTCTATTAAAAAAAAAACAACAAACAAAAAGAGAAACATGCCCACAAATTTCAGCGTGGTAAAGAAGAAGCCACAGTTAATTTAAAAGACCAAATTTTCTCAGGCTGTTTTCTTGATGTGCTGTAGAATTTGGCTAGAAATGAGAGTGGCATTTTTCTTTCTTACTTTCTCTTCACTGATTCTGTGTTTCAAAGGCTTGCTTACCTATTTGAAAATAGGCAAAGTGGCGCAGTGAATAGAGCACTGGGCCTGGAGTCAGGAAGGCTCCTTTTTGTGAATTCAAATCTGGCCTCAGGCACTTAGTAGCTATGTGACCCTGGGCAAGTCACATAGCCCTGTTTGCCTCAGATTCCTCATCTATAAAATGAACTGGAGAAGGAAATAGCAAACCACTCTGGTATCTTTGCCAAGAAAATCCCAAATGAGGTCAGAAAGTCAGACAAAGCAGAAATGACTGAACAACAAAATATAAATATGTATATTAGGAGTGAAGGTGTGACATGGAGATCTGTGGTGATAAGAATAGAATAATGATCTGATGAATGTTTTTGGAATTGTTGAATAGAAAGGGCGAAAGATATACAACTTTGGGTATTTTCTACTGAACAAATGGTCCCTCAATGGCATAAAGCTCCCACCTCAAAAGCTTCATCGTTAAAGTGATAGCTTGGAGATCATTGACTACCTCTCTCTTTTTTTTTTTTTTTTTTTTTGTCTTTGAAGGTCTCAACATCTGTACAAGTGGGAGTGCTACCTCCTGTGAAGAGTGTCTGCTTATCAACCCAGAATGTGCTTGGTGTTCCAAGGAGGTAGGAGTGGGAGGAGGGCTGCTGTTAATTACCAGAGTTAACATTTATGTAGTGTTGTAGGGCTTACAAAATACTTCACATATGTAACATTTAATCCTTACCACAACCCTGGGAAGTAAGTGCGATTGTTATTCTCATTTTACAAATAAGAAAACTGAGGCAGACAGAGGTTAAGTGACTTGTTTAGGGTCACACAACTAGTAAGCGTCCAAGGCTGTATTTGTACTCAGGCTCAATGCTTTATCCACCATTTCACCTGGTTACTTCCCCTAAAGGTGCTTGGTTAGAGACTACCAGCTCCTCTTTTCCTTTACTTCCACCCCACCCACAACACACTGCAGGTTTTTGTGCAAATCTGCAAACTGATCACTCTCAAGTTAGAGACGAAGGAAGTGCTACTGTTTTATAAAACCTTTTAAGCATCATTTCCAGTTGCTGTTTAGTTGTATTGTTTCTTTGCTTTTAGGAATGTGTTTTCATTTCACTTCAATTTAAGAATTTACGGCCAGAAGCCTTTGCTGAACCCCATAGACAGAGACTAGCAACTTTGAACTTGTGGGATTACCTCCTTGGCACATAACATTCCAGGATCTACATGTGGAATGCTGGAGAATGTTAGTAATAATTACATTGGCTTTTTATCAGAGTACAAACATAAATTGGCTCTTACTATATTTGGGTTTAAAGCAGCGCTATTTCTCAAAGTTCTGAAAGTTGTTCATTAGCGTATTTACATAATAGTGGTTTTAAGATTGTCAGAACCTAGCAATCTAATCAGGAAATTCATAATACCCAAACTTAACATCGCTATCAAATTTACTCTCTCTATCAATGACTTGGAGTCAGGAAGACCTAGGTTTGAATCCTGCCTTAAAAACTTGTGTATTTGTGTGATTCTGGCAAATCAGTTAACCTCTCTGGGCCTCACTCTTCTCCTTTGTAATATGAAGGGATTCTTTGCACAGACAAAATTAATGCAGGTAGAATAACAAGAGACAATAGAATAAGAAAAATCTTTTCATCAATATCACTGATAATATCATATCTTATAAAACATATCTAGCTATTACATTGTACATATGCATGTATACACATGTATGTATGCATGTGCATATATAGAAGCATATATACATATATACACAAATATATAGATCCAAGAGACGTATCAAAGAATATGAATGATTTCCAAAGGAATGGCAAAATATCAATGTCCTTTTGAAAACATTCTCCAAATCACTAATAATAAGAGGAGCAGAAATTAAATATATATACATATATATATATGTATATATATAATTTTATCTTACACCCTGCAGTTTGGCAAAGATGACCAAAAAAAAAAAAAAGAAGAGAAAAAGAAAACAGTTAATGTTGAAGGAGTTGTGTGAAAACTAATACACTGTTGGTGGAATTGTGAGTTACTGATTGTTCTGCATAAGTTTAGAATTATTTAGAATTTAGAACTAGGCCAAATTCTTCCTACTTTTGACTCAGCCACTCTAAGATACTGAGATACTTTTGACCTCAGAGAGATCAAAGACACAAATAGAGTTTCTGTATATATTCAGTATATATGTACATTATTTACAATAGACCTTTCTGTGGTAGTTAAGAACTAAAAATAAGGCAGATACTCACCCACTGTGGCATGACTGAATAAACTGTGGAGAGCAGTTAAGTAGGTGACGTAGTCATGGTCCTGGAGTCAGAAAGATATGAGTTTCATTCCAACCTCTGTTACTTATTAGCGGTGTGATTCTAGGTCAAGTCACTTCTTAGTGCTTTAGTTTCTTCCAACTACAAAATGTAGATAATAGTAGCATCTGCCTTAGAGGGTTGTTGTGAGGTAATACCGAAAAGTGCTTTGCAAACCTTAAAGCATTATATAAATGCTAGCTATTAATGTTATTATATAAATAAAGTGGAATATTATTGTGCTGTAAGAAATGAAGAGTATGTATTGTACTGTAAGAAATGATGAGCAGATTGCTCTCAGAAAAATCTGCACAGACTATCATGGGTTGTTGCAAAGTAAAATGTACTGTGTACAAAGTAATAGCAATATTGTAAGATGATTAGCTGCTAATGACTTAGCTATTCTCGGCAATACAATGATCCAAGACAATTCTGAAGGACTTATGACGAAAAATGCTATCCAATCCCAAAGAAAGAATTGATGGTGTCTGAATACGGACTGAAGCATACTTATTTTCCTCTTTCTTTATTTTTTTTTGAGGTTTTTTTTTTTGTTTTTTGGTCTGTTGTCTTTCACAAAATGACTATTATTGATATGCTTTGTATGACTACATGTGTACAACCTATATTGAATTGCTTGCCTTCTCAATGGGGAGGGGGGGTTTGAGGAGGGAGAAGAGGGGAGAATTTGGAGCTCAAAGTTTAAAAAAATGAATATTAATAATTGTCTTTGCATGTAACTGGGGAAAAATAAAATACTAAATAGGAATGAAGAGTGTGAGGATTTCAGGGAATCACGGGGTAATCTCTATGAACTGATATAGAGTGAAAAAAAACAGAAGCAGAGGAGAAATAGGTACAATGACTGCAAGTATGGAACTAAAAATATTCGTGAAAGGAAGCCAAAATGAATAAGCAAAAAAAAATAACGGTCTCTTGGAACAGGTAATGAAGTATCCTGTCCCTTTTCTCCACAGAGAAGTGATGGACTATGAGATCAGGAAATTGCATAGATTGTCAGAAGAGTCAATTGTATCAGTTGTTTTTGCTTTTTTTTTTCTTTGTTACAGGGGAGGTTTCAATTTTGGTGGTGGTGGAGGTGGAGTGTATACCTAGGAATAATGTAACAACAATGAATCATTAAAACCTATTTAAAAATAAAATAATAAAATTGCACAGAAGGGGGTTAGACTCTGGCCCATAGGGTCCCTTCAACTTGAAAGTTATGATTTTATGAGGGTATGTGACATGAACTTCCTTAATGTTCTTTCTGTATTCCTCAGAACTTCTCAGCGTCATTATCCCTTGTTTCTTCTACTAGTCATTTCATATGCATTTATTAAGTGCCTTACTGTATGCCAAGAACTGTGCTAAGCTGGGAATACAAAAAAAGGCAAAAGCCAATCCCTGATCTTGAACAACTATAATCCAAATGGGAGAGATAACATGAAAACCACTACGTACAAATTATGTAAACAGGACAAATTGGAGATAACCAACAGAGAGGAGACACTCACATTAAGGGGCATCAGGAAAGGCTTCTTGTAGAAGGAGGGACCTTAGCTGGGATTTAAAGGTGGCCAAGGAAGCCAGAAGATAGAGATGAAGAAGAAGAAAATTGCAGCCAGTTAGAATGGCCAGAGTCTGGAGATGGAGTATTTAGGCCAGTGTTGCTGGATCACAGAGAATCTAGGGATGCATAAAGTGTAAAAACACTGGAAAAGTAGGAGAGGGTCTGGTTGTGAAGGAATTTGGATGCCAAATGGAAGATTTTATATTTGATCCTGGCAGTGTTGATCCTGGAGTTTGTTGAATAGTAGAATGGGGGTAGGAGAGTGGGCAGTCACATGGTCAGAGCTGATCACAGAACTATCTACATTCCTTACTAAGACTAATCCAATTCCCTCCTTTCTCCTCCTGGACTTTGCTCTAGTAATCATTCTGTCTCTCTCCTGTTTTTTCAGTCTCTCCCTTGCCACTGATTACTTCTCATCATCCTCTAAACATTCTCAATTCCCCCTAATCTTTTTTTTATCAGAGCACAAACCATGACCCTTACATCTTCATTATCTACTGTACCATTTTTCTCCTTCCCTTTACTGCTAAACTTCTTCAAAAAGTTATCTGTACCCAATGCCTCTATTTCCTCAATATCCTATTTCTCTTTGTAACTCTTTGAAATCTAACTTCTATTCCCACTACTCTACTGTAGAATCTCAAAGGTCACCAATGGCTCTCTAATCACTAGACTCTATGTCCTTTTTTCATTTCTCCTTGACCTCTGCAGCTTTAGACAGTATTCTCCAATACCTTCTTCTTGTCCTGTGGCTTTAGAGGCACCATATTTTCCAGATTCTCCTCCTATTTATCCAACCTTTCCTATTATGTCTCTCCCATTGGCATTTTTTTTTCTGACCCCTTCATGTGGATGTTTCACAAGACTCTATCCTTGGCCTTCTTCTCCTTCTGTGCTTTGTAAATCTGCTTAATTCTTATGGCTTCAACTACCATTTCTATGCAGATGACTCCAATATCTAATCCCATTCTTTCTTATGAGCTTTATACTAGCATCTCTATCTAAATGTCCTGTAGGTACCTTATACCTAACAGTTCTAAGCCAAATTTATCTTTCCTAAAAACCTGATCCTCCTGACTTCACTGTTTTTATGTATGGCATTACTATTCATGTACTCGGGAAAGCAGATGTTGCAACTTGGGGGACATCTTTTATGCTTCTCTCTTCCTAACCTTTCGTACTCAATTAGTTACTAATTCCTGTCATCTCTTGAAGATTTCTCACATATTTCTTCTCTTTCATATACCCACTATTACCATCCTAGTACAAAAGTCCTCATTACTTGGGTTCTCTTTAACTCTTCCTTCCTCCTCACCTTTCATGCTCAATCAGTTGTTTGTGAATTGCTGTTAATTCTACCTCATTATTTCTCACATCTGTCCACTCCTTCCTGTACCTATTGCTATCACTCAAGTACAGGTCCTTATTAGCACTTATGATAGTTTCCACTCTCTTCTTCCAATCTATCCTTCTTACTACTATCAGACTACTCTTTCTTATATGAACATATCTGTTCCTGCTGTTATGTACATGTCAAAAATTTTCAGTGGCTCCTTATTGCATACCAAAGAAAATTCAAACTATTCTGGCATTTAAAGCCCTTACCAATCTGGTGCCATCCTACCTTTCTAGCCTTCTCATATTAGTCTCTTTTTTGCGTTCTATGCTTCAGTTGCATCTGGAATTTTCTCTGTTCTCTAAACAAGCCCCTTGTCTTTGCTCTGTTTCT